CAGGAATGTCTGGCTATCATCATTCATGCAGGAGGACATTACAGATCATACTTAGAAAGGGCAGAATCCACAACAATGACGGGCTGCAGCTCGTCAGAAATGATCATGTCAAAACAGTAGATCCTCATAAAAGCCCAGCATACTGGAGAGATGTGTTTATTAGGATGTGACTTCAGCATTGTACATACTCGCCCATACACAAGGAAGGATATGTCTGCAGGGCAGGCTATTGCTTAGGGCAGCAGAATGTTCAGCGATTCTGTGAGCTAATGTGACTTGGTAGGGACAGACATTTGCTGGTTTGCCTAGGGCAGCAGAACCCAGAGAGCTGGCCTTGAACATAGTGCACTATTCAGTCTCTGTGACCTACTGTGGGATAAAGAAGATATATTGCACAGAGTAATAACCAGAGAAGAAGGCAGTTACAACATTAAAACTGAAAAAAATCTGTTCCTATGCTGCAGTAACTTGTAAAACAAGCATGGGTTCAGAGTCATAGGCCTTTCCTGCAGTCACTGTCTATAGAGCTTTAAGGCAACAGAGAGCAAGAATCCTACAGAGCGACAGCAGTCTGCTCGAGTGGCTTCCTGGACCGATGTCAGAACCTGGACCAACACGTTTTGTGATCAGAGGCTTCAAGAGTCTTCTATTTCTGTTAAATGTTTACCGGTAATCAGTATATTATTTTCCTGTGCAGAAATCTTTTAGCACCTCATTTTACACAAATAGCATTTTGCGGATCCTTATTCATACTGATATTAGCAGGCCCATAGAAGGGATGATGAGTCAGGTTAGAGAGCTTGACTCTGAATTTGTAATAGTCGGTCGGTCTCCTAGTGATTTTTATTTCAGAGTCTCTTGCAAGACTTTTAGTCTCTTGCAGTACCATTTTTTAGTATTGGCCGCCTCAGGATGTCGGATGCCCCGCGGAGGAAAGCATGTCCTGTCACTTACGTGGCTGCAGGGCAAGCTGCCCAGGGTCCCAAACCGCATCCACCAAGTGCCCACACTCAGTGGAAGGAATCCAGGCATGTCTCCATTCAGTTTTTCAATGGGCGTAATAGCACTGGGCTGCTTGGCAAAGGTCCCGTAAAATCGGTATGTTTAAAGTTGTGAAGCCTGGATAGGATGGGGAATTGTATAAATATGTGAAACTTACAAATAACCAAAGCTAGACTAGGCCTTTGAATAGGAAAACGCATCTCCAGTCCATGAAGAAATGTGTACTGGCAAGAGAGTATGCAAGCAGGGACAGTTTAGATGACTTTTGTGGCCCTTTAACTGGACTTTTGGTTTCTGAAGCCCGACTCTGCAGCCCATTTGACTCTAGCCTGAGGGGATTAAGATCTTAATTGTTGAAATGTGGCGATTTGCTTGAAAAACAGTCACAGTAGCAGAAAAAAACTTGAGAGCAGGGGCAGCGTCATACTAGTGTGATGGGTACAGCTGTACACTGGGTCAATTGACAAGCTTGCTAATGCAGAGTACAGGATTAATTGGCTTTGGTGGTCAGCCTTTGCTTCCCTATCTGAATGTCATTATCAGGAATATAAATGATTATGCTATGCAGAGAATTGCCACAATAGTCTCAGTGTCTCCTTTTATACTTGTCTCTTTTTAAATAAGCCTTTATCTAAATGCAAATGTGATTTCAGCTTTCTGATTAGGACATTATACAGTCATCCATTCCAGAAAAGCACAATTAGTGGATTATTTCATTTCTGACTCAACAGTTCTTGGTTTAGAAAGTTCATTTGTTGTGCTATGCATGATATTTTAGTTATCACAAGGAGATTACATTATTTGAGTCTGGATTACAGCCATATTTTGTGAGATTTGAGAATTTTTTACTAGAAGATAGTCTTGGCAAATAAAAACAGTAATATTTATGGAATTTGCAGGAGGAGGATTTTTTTTTTTAAACAGAAAGCAGTAGTGCAAACTATTACTATGCTTAATTGTGCATTTGGTGCAAATTAAGGGTAAAATTATCAGAAATAAGCATGCAAAATTGTTGCCATGAGGTGTACAGGCTCGGAATTTAACCTTACTTGTTATTAGTGTCAGTAGTGTTACCCTTTGAAAGCCTGATGCTGGGTCAGGTCATAAGGCTTCTGATTAAAATACTCATTGGTTTTGCATGCCATATGGAAAGGTGTAGCTGGAAGGCAATTGCCTTGGAGAACTAAAGTACGATTTTAGTAAATTGTGGGAATTTTAGTGGGAGGAGTAAAGTTTTTTTTATTATTATAACAATAAATTGTAGAAGATGAGTAATGTCAGTTTTGCTGTTATTATAGTAATTGAATGAAATTGTTCTGAGGGAAAGTGATTTGAAGTTATTTGGTGGAAGAGAAGGATTTTGCAAATGAGAGACAATCATGAAATATTTGGCTGCCTTTTTCCCTTGTGGTCTGAGCAGGCTTATTCAGTTTAAGCCTTTCTAGTGGCAGCTAACCATCAGCTTAGACCACTGTGATGCCTTCTCAGCACTCCCTTCCAGCCTTTGCAGTGATATCACCCTGTCCCAAGAAAACAATAGAATCACATTTTCTCTGCTATACTTGTCTGCTTTTGCTGCCAGTAGCTTTATACACCCCCTTTTCCCTGTTCTCCTCTGCTGCTATCTCTGTTATAAGCTGGAAGAAAAGATTACAAGAATGTCAAGGGCAGGCAAATCTCTATAATAAACAATGCAAGTGTTTTAAAGCTTTGTTTTACAGTGGGACAGGCCTGTTGTGCTTCATTCTGGGATCAGCAGTTTCCCCTTTCAGTCACAAGACCCTTGTCCTTCTCCACCTTCTTCATCTTGCTCCTACTGTATATGTGAACAGTTTGAGTCACCACAGTTGATGGTCTTAACCAGCGTGGCAAAATCTATGCATTTTTTTGCATTTACATGTATGGGAGATCTGATCATGCAAAAGGTCTTACTTGAATGTCCTTTCTGGAGCATTTCTCTTGCAGCCTGTTTCCGTAGTCTTCCAGCCAGGTAGATAGCCCTGAACTAGATTTCTGGTCTGTGGCCTCCATTACTGTATAACTAAGGCTGGAGTAACCACTAGCAGAGCCTGCTAGCAGACAGCCAAAAAAAAAAAAAATCAATTCCATTGATCAGTTTAACCATTCTATATTAATTTGTTTGTGTGACTCTGATTTTTCTGCTCTCTCCCATGGCAGAGTTTCTTTATGCTGAGACAGGCTATCCTCTACATTCCTCAAACATGAGGGATCTTTGCTTTTGTGACAGGAAATCTATTGCAGCACTTAGATTTAATTAGAGCACAATGACAGATGATGAGTTTACACATCAAAGCCTAGAAACTACACAAGAAATTGGCCCTGATCCCAAAGCCTACTGTAAGATCCGTCTCAGACTGTGTTAAGCAGGAGGATGAGAAATACAGTCTCCAGTCTTTAGGGTCAGTTGGGCTATAATATTTTTTACCAGCTAAGGATGAAGCTGAAGAAAAAAACCTACCCATGAGTGCAGATGAGTTTAGGTCTTGCATCTAGTTGCTTATTATGCCAAGAGTAACTTGGCATCTTGCCTCCCTTCTCACCTGCAGTTGTTTTTGTGCTGGGATGCAGTCTTGCCGTGACATAGGGAGAAGCATTAAGGGATTTGAAAACGTGCATGGGGAGAGGTGCTAAAGTAATGTTGATTTCAATCAAAAATGAACTGTACCAAACTCATTTCGGATGTAAGCAAAGCTGTGATGACAGTATAAATAGCAGGAAAGGGATCCTGACATATGTTCTTCAAAGGCTTAACCTGCTTAAGCCTATTGTATATCTTTGAATTGGTTTTAATAATTTACATTATCATCTCATGAGACAGTAACGTTATTACATACTCTCAGAAAACATTAGTTATTTTCCCTTGGAGGCTAGAAAAGGTTTTTCTACTAAGGTGTCATCAGAGCCTATCTTAGGGGCTTTCTTGACGCCTGTCAGCTGTGACTCACTGTTTCTGCAGGTCTGTAAGCGATGGTGTTAGAAGCTGTGCCTGGTGAAATCCGCTGAGCAGGTGGTGAGCTATATTGTGTGCTCTATTAAGCTGCACAAAAACAGGCCTTGGTGCTGACACCTCCTCCCTGTTCCCATCCCACCTGTTTGGCTCATCTGCCTCATCTTATGGCTTGTCATTAGTCTGCCCTGTATATCCTCTATGGCACGAACTTTTCATTTTATGTATACATGAAAATATTTATGCATATGTGTGTGTGTATATATATATATATACATACAAACACCTGCAGCACGGTAAGGCCTGGATCCCTCACGGAGGTGTGGGCACAATTCCAATACAAGCTGATGTTCCAAAACTCTTATTTCTCATACATCTCCTATAGACAAAACGCTCTGCCACAGGAACAGCCCTCTCATTTTACAGGATGTTTCTTTTCTTGAATCTGGCTTTTGTTAAATCGTATAGCACAGATTTCACTCCTTATTTCAGTAATTAACAAAGAAAAGCAATACTATGAGGTGCTCAGACAAGATGTTGTGTTGTGGCTCTGTACCTTGAGTAAAGTGACTTTGGAGAGACTCATCCCTCCAGGACAAAGTTTATTCTATATTTTTCAGATGGATTTGTTTAACTTTATTCACAGAGAAGAATCCCCTGGGATTTGCAGCCCTCCTGGCCGGGTGCTTCAGTATGGGGGCACCCCGAGGGCTTGCGGGGCTGCTCTTGTGGCTGTTGAGAGAGCAGGATGAGAGGAGATGGAGCCATGCTCCGCTGCCAGAGCTCGAGTAGTTAGTTTGGCAGTGCCTTTAACCTCAGCTCTAGCGACTGCGGTCTGGGAGAAACAGCTATCTTGGGGTGAAAGCACAGATTCATCATCTCGGCCTAACTGGCCCGGGTACCACACAGTTACTGGAATATTCTACTCAGAAATATATTTGGCCAAAAGATTTATATTACTTAAGAAGAGAAAAAAATACTCCAAAAGATGAGTAAGTATCATAATGGATGCTAAAATAATGCCATACACCTACTTTGTTATTCAGTTACTTATGCATTATCATTATTCTTAAGAGTAATGATGTAAAAGTGCTTTTTTTCCAAATGTTAATTTAGTTCTTTGCAGATGGTAACCATCTGTTAAATGACGCTTTATATAGCTTGGATGGACTGACTGTTACAATATATACGTATAGCTGTGGAGGTGAAACTGCTAGATTTGTTCTTTTCCCGTTGCTGTTATATTCAATGGAAATTTTCAAAGCTCTCTATTTTTGCATGTCTTCTGTATTTATAAATGTTATTTTGAGTTAAAGCCTGAAATTTGCAAGCCAATTCATATAGTGCTTTTGAGACAATAATAATGTTAGGAAGCACTGCTGAAATGCAACACTATTCATAGCAATTACGAGGGCCCTAATTTCGCAAAGGAACCATGTGGATGGACCAATATGAACACTTACTGAAACACTGCAAGTCTGCATTGAGTGTAAGCATCATGGCTCAGAGATTAGACAATCTCATCATCTGTGACACTGTTTTTGTGTGTGTTAACAGCAGATCACTCTCCAGGACTCCTTTTTAAAGGAGAAAAAAATATTAAATCCAAATACACCTGAATGCTACCATCAAAAAGTGGTTTTTGAAGAAACTAAACCCTTTAATTTTTATACATTGTTCAATGCCAGCTAGCTCCATTTCTCCATAAGCTACACAAATTGTGGTAAGTTTCATGTTTGGTTTCTTTCAAAGGTTTCTTTATGTTATGTTATGCTGCTAAATTTTAATTTTTGGGTCCCATTCTAATTGTTGGAAAAATATTTTTCAGTTTTATTTCTGCGTTGTTAATGTTTGTTTGATTTTATTTTTTTAACAGCTGGATAATAAAATGGCTCCACTACCAAATGCTGATTTAGTTCAGAATTCTTTGCAGTTGTATCGTTACCTGCTTCGATGCTGTAAGCAGCTTCCCGAAGAGAATATTCGGCAGCATTACAGACATGCAATCAGACAGGTGAGAATGCGGTTTCCTTTCCAACAGTGTAGTTCTCAGCCTTCTTTTGTTTCTCCAGCTGTTTGCAGCGAATTTGGGTAGCTCCTGGCACTGAAAAAACTACTCATATGCAAACTTGAAACCTAAATGTATTCAAAGGATTACACAAGGAGTGGGTTAAGGGGCACTTCCTTTTGTTTGCTTTGAATCTGTTACCTTCCTCTTCATTTGTTTCCATCTTTAATTCTTACTTTTGTTAAGCTGTGAACACTTAACACATCTTTCTGTAAGAGTATTACAGACTCTTAGTGGTTTCTTGTCAATGATTTTCTTTTTTTCCTCCACAGACAGAGTAAATCTTACCTAATAGTTCGTATGAAAGTAATTTTGTGCTTTTGATTATATCTGTTTTCCTGTTGATGTACTTTTTATTTTCGCTTTTCCTGGCTTAATTTCAATAAAACTTTGTTGTGGAGGGTTTTATTTAAGTGCTGTTCAATTTATTAGGATGCAATGTGCTTTTTAAGTTTATGCATGTTCTTTAATGCTTTACTAAGTAAGGTTAGTTTCTGTCGTCCTGAATTGAAGCTGTCATGAGTCTGTATTTGACGTCATATGTTTTTGGTTTTTTAATCCTGTGATTAAAGAAAGGTGTGAATTATTTCACTGAGACGTGTTTCAAATCAAAAGTTTGCTTTTATCAAGTCTCTGGTGTTTTAACATTGATCCTTGTTTTGACACTGCAGCATTAAGTTGCCTAGTCAGTGTAACATTTTGATCAATGTTGTAGAGTTTCAAGGTCCATGCGGATGAGGACAGTCCTGAACGAATTCAGCAGATTATTAGAAGAGCTATTGAAGATGCTGACTGGGTCATGAATAAAGTAAGTGCATCATATTCCGAAGTTTTGTTCCAACTTGGTTCAAATCAAAGAATAAAACACTGAAAAGCAAATTAGGAGCAACAAACCATGCTACAGCTGTGGACATTGAAGAGTTTGTATAAAGAAAGTATCTAGGCATGACAGATATGTGGTTGAGATGGTTCTTGTTTAAGAGCTCTTCATTATTGCTATACACTGACTATATTTTGTAGTATCAATGGTGCTGGGCTATAAGATGATCTCTGTAAAGCTTTGTTCAACAGTGCTGGCTAATATAGCTCTACTATAACAAAGAAAAAGTTGCAGTGTTTTGCAAGCCACAGTTCACAGATACCTGCCAGTTCCTTTCCAAACAGCAAGCTGTCTTCTGTTAATCAGTTTACACAAAATTCTAAAATTCTCTTTCCTCAGGTTTTGCCTGAGCTCTGTAGGTGAGAGTTAGACAACAGTTTGCTCCTGCCCTATTTTCCCCCAATAGAACTGCTTCCTGCTAACACAACACCAAGGGAGATCCCTAAAATTGTCCGTGCTGGAAAGGCCATGTCAACAAATCACACTAGTAGAAAAAAAGTGGCTTAAGATAAATCAGATTCTTAATTTTTTAAACAATTGTAAAGTCTCTTTGTGAAGTCAAAATGAGAATTATTACAGGAGCAAACGCATATCAGCCATAGAATTTAGCGACAGCCAAATCTCAGTAATTGCAGCCTAGTAAATAACTGTGCCTGAATCTGACTTTTTCTGATTCTGCAACAGATATTGTAGTTTATTACATTAGATTAACAGTTTTCCGATAGTACAAGTGAGAGGAAGATCAAGACTTGCAATGCCCACTGAGAACCAATGGCATATCCAGTATTTTTTATTAGAGGGAAAGGCATTAAATGTCAATCTAACTTAAAGAAAACTGAAGTAATTTTGTGTGAACTGTGAATCCAGTTGTAACTCCATGTTGGTATGAATCATTACTTTTAGGTATTCACTTTTATCTTGACTTCTTTCTTTGTCTTTCTTTCCAGTATAAAAAACAGAAGTAGAAGAGGAAGAATGAAGGCCAAGAACATCTCTGGTATACCTATTTAGATAACTCATGAGGAAAAAAGCTCAGTGTTATAGTATAGATACTGCCTGTAGATTTCCCCTGGATAACACAGATATGTTAACTGACATCTCCTTGGGACATCATGAAACTAAATTACTGTTTCTGAAGCTGTTTGAGATTGAAGTTGAAATGATACGGTGCAGATTCAAAGTATTAGTATGCATAATAGCAAGCATTAGCTAAAGGCTCAAACTTCCTAAAGAATTGAGAAGCACAGGTAGCTTCTCAGGAAGACTCCCTGAGCATAACAGTGTAATACAATACAAGTCAATAACAAATAATGTAAATCATACCTGGTCATTCATATCTGATGAATTAAGAGTTTCACCAAGAGAACTTAACTGCTCTCTGAGCATGAAGATCTCTCTTGAAAGATTCCAAATTTGGCAAATCTCACTGGGGGTCAAAGCAAATTGCTCTGTACTTGATTGTGGTCCATGTTATCTTTAAAGGTCTAGATACAGCATTTGATAAACTATATTTGATGCACTTACATAAGGTGTCTGGTTGGAGCACAGGTCTAGTTTTAATCCGGTAGCAAAGACAAGAGTCATAAGCTACTGAATGGAGAACATCCCCCTAAGGCTTGTAAGGCTCTATGAAACGGGAACCACAGTAATTCTGCTCTGGGTGCTGGTAAAGTTGGTTTTTTGCCTAGCCTGCTACAGGCCTGCCTTTGTTCTACTCTGCAGGTTTGTGCTTGACATACTGGTTATCTTCTTCATTTAAAGGTGGGTCCCTATCGTGTGTGACCCTGACCTTTAAGCTGCTGTGGAAACAGACACGATCCAGCCGGGTGGCGGGCACTGCCTGGTGCCATAACTGACATGCAATGTTGTACAGAGGCCTTCACAGTTTTTTTGCAACATGTAATAAATGTCGTTTAAAAATTTGTGTCCATGTCTTTTTGAGAAAAAGCCTTTTTTCACTGCCCTATTAGATTTCCAGTAGGGAAAACTCTTGAGAAATACTAGCTATCTTAAAATTAATTTGAGGGTAAACGAGTTTCCTTTTGAAAGATAACGTTTTGGTTTACATGCACTTGAAACTGTCTGCCTCCGGGTGGCAGTGTGTGCCGCTTTTGATCGTCTGAAGTCCTAAGGATTTGAGTATTGAGTTCATCTGTTTCTACCATTTCTAATATGTTTAGCTCCCTCGTCTCCTAAAATACAACTGAAATGCTATAGCTAGATTTCTTCTAAGCTTCAGCTTTGCATTTCAATTTCAGAGAAGCTAGAAGTTGTTTAAGTAGTCTAATAGCTCGAGGTAGCCAAGAACTTCAGACAAGTGCTAAAAGAGAAAAGTGCCCTTTTTAATCAAGAACAGCAAATAATTGAACCATGCTGTTTACCTCTTCTGTGATATATATGATCTGGAATATTGAGATGCACTAATAACTTTGTATCAGTGCAACAGTGAAAACATCAATCCTCAGGAGCAACAGTGTGTGAAAGCATGCCGGTTTCCTGAACTCCAAATGTGGTGTGCACAATAAGATCCACTGCTATAATTGTCTGTCTATGAGGAATGTGAGATGCAATGTTTTGTTCAAATATTTAATAGGATAATTTTGTGTGTGTAAATAATGCTTACATGCTTAATTTATGGATAGTTTGACAGGAAGGAGCACCAAGGAACTAGAAGGTATAACCATGGCATATCTGCAGATCTGAATTTCTGAGGTACCAATTGAGATGTGGGAGCATCAGACCACAGGTATAACAGCAGGTAGATGTAACTTGTGTGTCAGGACCAGGATCTGTAAATTTTAGTCTTTGGAAATAGGCAGACCTTTCAGTTCTTGCTAGGGTGCAGAAGGGAACATGGTTGTCAGAAGACATCATGACTAAGAACTTTGACAGTAGTGATTCACTTGTAGGGTGTGGTAAAAAGTCTGAGTCTTTTTTTTTTTCATACAAACAGTCTCGTTTTCAAAATTCCATACCTTTTAATAGAATGGAAATGTAATGTGAAAATTGTGAAGCAAATAATTTTTCTGACAGTGGGGAAACATGGTGCAAACAACTATTTACCTGCAATAGTGAAAGTAACCCCTGATATCTGAGGCGGACATGTTTCTATAACAGCGGGACTGAGAAGTCGCTCAGCTGCTCAGAGGCTTTCCTGCTTTCAGGCATAGTGCTAACGTTGGTGATATAATTTGTTATTTGTTACATAATTATTGTTGTTGTATAATTAATGTTGTGTTACGCTAGCCATAGATGAGAACCTGAGCTCTAAAATAGGATTTAGGCCATGCTTAAACACTTCAGTTCAAACCTGTTATCCGGAAAATTTGCTTAGAAGTTGTTTGATGGTGGAGATGCTGTAATTTATCAGGTGCAATCTGTTTGACTTGAAAGTTCCTGTGATAAATTGAGTTCTCTTTGTCACATCCCAGAATCTCCTTGTTTTGAGCAACCTTGTGCCACTCCTCCATCCAGCCTTACTGAGACTGAAGACCTCTGTCCCACCAAAGGATTCAGTCAGGTGGGATTGCGCAGAGCTTATACAAACTTCTGAGATTGTGCATCTCTTGGGTAGACTGAAGCTAAGTGCAGTTATGGTTTGGTGGGGTTTGTCTGCTGCAAATGCTGGAGCTGAAGAAAGAAACATTCATAATGAAAACCAGTAGAACAGAAGAACAAGGCACTCAGATAAGACAAAGGAACTCCTAGCAGCCAGATCTACTGTTTGCCGTTTCTGCATTACATTTCATTAAAAAATAAGAGTTCATTCTAAATTAGAAGTTGTTCTCATTTATGACTGCCAGTGGCTGGTTGTTGTACATAGTGCTACTGGTACAAGCCCTGTGAGACGTAGCTGAAGTGTGTCAGCCCCAGCAGAGTTTAACCCAGTTCCAATGTGAGGAAACAGTGACACAACAAATCAATGCACCTGTCTACGTGCGGCATTCTGTTGGTGCCACTGTGCTAATGCTAAAGATCGTCTGTCAGTGGGCAATAACAGGGCCAAGTACACGCTGTGTAAAAGGCTTGTACAGTCACAAACAGCTCTGTGCCTGCGCCTCGCAGGGGAGTGTTTCAGTGGTGAGTCCCCCTCAAGATCTTTTAATGGTGGTCGCAAAGGAAATAGCACACCAGACAGACTGCTAAATCTGTGTTTTCTTGTTCAATTATCCCGAATTTCTGAGGAAAAAGAAGATGAGTGCAAATTCAGTAACGGGGTAACAGAGAGTGCATTGCATTGACAGTTTAAGGAGCATTGTGACACTTTTGTCATTAATTTTGCAAAAGTAATCACAATATAAAATACGTAATATCAAGGTACAAGTTTATGCTATTTATAGTGCTTTTTTTTACTGAACTGGGTTTTTTATTTCAGTAGTTACACAGTATGTTTATTCTGAAAACTAATGGGCTGTTGATACCTACAGCTAATAGCTGAATAACTAAGACCTATCTAAGACCTATGAATAATGTGACCTCTCAGAAGGTCACATCAAAGCCTCTGTTTTTATTGGCCCTACTGATGGACTTTACTGCAATAAGCATTCAGTTATCAGCATGATTTTAGTGCTCACTGATGTGAGAGTTTTCATCGTTATTACAAGAATGTAATAACTATATCCTGGAAACATCAATTTAACTTCTAGTAAGATCTTGGGTCACTGACTCCCTGTAAATGCTTCTTTAGCAGTTCACTACAGATGAATGGAATTAACAGTACAAAGGTTTTATACAGGCAGCTCTGCCTGTAGCTACAGATAGGGTTTCACAGAGTTTTGTTATACAAGAGAAACATTAGGACAACAGAAAAGACACAGGAAAGAAACAACAGACTTGGTTTACAGTTGAAAGTTCAGTAGGTTGGGATCCTGCCTTTCATTCTTAAAGTATGGAGAAACTGATTATGTTGATGATATTTCAGCTATGGAAAATGAGAAATTAGATGTTTACTTAAGGTTATTGAATTGTCAAGTGTAAGTCTAAGGACAGAACTCAAGATTTGCCAGTATCTCATAGCCACAGTTGATGCTGTGATTTCTTTTTTATGTGTAGCACTGTATACCTAATGCTGAAACTGTAGGGAAATCATCAGTACATTACAAATAAGGCAGTGACCATCTGGAAAGATTGGAACAGTGACAGTTTGCTGGTGAGTTAGCTGTTGTGTTACCTTTGTGAAAAGGCCTGCTCTTGTCATCAACCTGGAGCCTCAACATAGAAGCTTTCTGTGTTGTGAAAGCATTTTTGTTTGCTGTTTTTTTAATTTGTTAATATCAAGTCAAGGTATGGAAAAAGTTGGAAATTTGTGGTTAATCTACTCTACAGGAGGTATTCTGCTCCTTCTGTGGTTGAAGTTTCGTATATATTTTTTGTCTCACTCCTCTGCCAGAGCTGCTGATTTCAGTTCACTCTTGGCTCTGAACCCTGCTTGAGATCTGTGGATACCACACAGAATACTTCCATCCCAAGCCATGTTTCGCTCAGCATTATTTGCCCACAGTTGAATATTCTTGAAATCATTGTTTAGCTTCAGCATTTTGTAAACTCTTTTCACTTGGTTCATTATGTTACAGACATTGCTTTCCACACATGAGTTGAAGGATTTGATGCTGGATGAAACATTTATGGTGTCTGGCTCATTATCAAATGCCATGAGGAAGTGATCGTTAAAACAGCAGTACCAGGAACTAGCACACAGATGCACATTATATTTTCAAGAGACAAACAAAGTTCAATACGATCTTTCCTAAGGGAAAAGGTTTTGTATTTCTGAGTTTCTTTCAACTTGGCATTGGCCGTTGGCCTTCATGTAAAGCTCTGATAAGATGCAAACTGAACAGGCAGCGCAGGAGTTGAGTCCCAGATGCTTGGTATCATAATATTCATTTGGTATCGAGTCCTTGACCTTGAAATGTAAGAAAGAGCCTTTGGAGCTTTATCCTGCACAATGCAATGTTCTTTCTCGTCATCCAAAATAACATGTGTTTATTTGAAATGTGTGAGCAGCCTCTTTGATGTTGAGAGTTGTGTTCTGATGTGAGCCAGTAACACATGAAAATGGCCTTACCCTGATGACTTGCCCACTTGGTCAGTTTCTTTAATGCAGTTTTTCCTACTGCTCAGAGGCAGAGTATTTATTCTTGAGTATGAGCCAGCTGGTGCATCTTTCAACTTTTATATTATTTAGTTTAATTTATCTTTATACTTCTGTCAAGCCAGGTTTAATGAAATAGTGTTAACTGAAATACACAGTAGTCATCAAGTACTCCTTTCAGCTTGTGATTGATCTAGGCAGATGCATCAACTTTAAAAACAAATGTTCTCTTAAGATTATTTTTCTGTTTTCTTCATAGCTGTGTTTGTCTGCTGATAGCTTATGAACTTTTAAAAACCATTTAAAATGAGTGAAACATTTGTCATTTGCAATGAAGAGTTTAACAATGTATGCATTTATCATTGATCTGAGGATCAGAGCCTTGCAACAACACTCAGTATATTTTTTGATTACTTTTTTTTTCCTATAAAGTTATCTGCTTTTTTATTATCTATTAATTCATTTTGATAATATTGGCTTATCTCTGAGCAAGCTTTGTTTGGATACTTCACTATCTCATGTGAAATAATCTTTTCCAGCTGCAGCCCCCCTTCGTTGGGTTGAACTGCTCTGTTACCCATATGCTTCTTTCTGTTGTGGTTCAACTTCGTTCATTTGAAAGCCAGTGCATGTTATGTCCCTTTACAGCTTAGTCTTTGCACAGTCTGTTCTCCTGACAGAAGTTTTAAATGGTGGTGTTTTAATTAATATTTTCTGCTATTGAGTAGAATGCAGTTTAAAAGTGGATTAAAAAGATATAAAATTGATAATAAACTTTTGCAACTGATTGGGTTGATTCATGTTCTGTATTTGGTAACA